GAGAGGTGAGTTGATAGCTTTCACACGATAGGTGGTGGGTGGGCAGAAGATAGTTAGGCAGGCAGGCAAGTAAGTGGGCAAATATGTAAGTAGGTGTGAAGCCCCCACTCTAAGTGGGGCCCAGGTAAAAACCATCCCTCACCTCCGCGTGGTCCTGGGTGGTAACGTCAGCTTCTAAACTGGCGGCTAACGAGGGCTCTGGTACTTCTACTCCCCATAAATCTCTGGTAAGTGTTTTTGAAAAGCCTTTTTTCTCCTTAGATTTTGTTTAGCAACGTAAATGTGGTTAAATTTCGTTTGATTTTTGTGTACTTATATTTTTTTAGATGATGTAAACAGAAGTGCAAGGAAATTGTTAATTGTATTGCAAGGTGGTCAAATCTCTCAAAAGGATGATTTGGTACATTCCTCGATTTACCCTGGTAGCCCCAAGTACTATTGTGTAAAGTTATCATCTATTCCTGAAATCGGCAAACTTCGATTTTTACAAAGTGGGGTGCGCGATAGACTTACCTCCATGTGGTGCACTCTGGGCAACGTATTCTCATACGGCAAAAAGTCTATTAACCGGAAGTTGACCCCACTCTATGTTATATTCCACTACTTCCACAGTTATCACCTCACCTTTTTCTACCTTCGTGTCTGTCTCTTTTACATCTTTGAAACACTCTTCTCTTCCCTCCCTCCTTTCGACTTTTTTCATTTCGATGTTCCTTTCTCTCTGTGAGGCCTAAAGTCAACTAAAGGGCTAATGATAACTATCAAAACGCCTGGCATTTGATCTAAATTTTTAAAAAGTTTGTCATTTGCAGATTTAAAGCTAGGTATCAAGGAGCATTGATCCCATGGGACTTTTCAGATTAGAAACTCCATTAGTTAATTTATCATTTAGCGAATGCACTTTTTATTGATTTTTTTCGTTTGCATTGAAGCTTAATCACGTATTTTATCCGATCAATATGAAGTGGTAGGTGAACTCAGTTTTCGCAAATTTATTTTTCAATTGAAAAGAAGTCGCCTGTGTTTGTAAAAATTTAAAATGTAAATTTTTATATAATTTTTCTTTCTGTATTTAACATTTGTAGGTTGCTCCAGTACCCCTAGAACATCTACTCATGTTGAAATTTACATAACTTTCCGATTGGAAGCAAGTTATCGTTATCGATCACCCACTCAACCAATATCTCGTGCTTGTCAATGGATTGTTAGTTTTTTGGGCATTCGTTGTTGAAATGAGAGAATTGAATCCTATTGAAGCCGATTACCCTACTCTTCTCGTTCTCGTTGCAATAATTTATTATTTGTGTTGGCATTGTAGAGACAATCAACACTTCCATTAAGTTAACCATTGAAGCGACCTTACTAAGTTGCGACCTTTCTAACAATGAAAAGTTCAAAAGGTGGCATATGAATACGGGCTACTGAGAATTTTGGCCAAAATATAGGTGAAATTTGGGTCTCCTCCATTAGATCAAAATTTGAAACACAATGCCTTAAACGATGGCCTAATGTGGAGTCGAGCCATCTATGTGCATTTTGCGTGGAGTTTGTCTCCAGTCTCTTTGAACTCAAACTTATCGGAGTCGTGGATGAGAAAAAACGATGTGGCGTGCATAGCAGATGAAGAGAAAAACGCCAATTTCACTCCATAACCCCAATCGGTTGTGCTTTTAATGAGAACTTAGTGATAATAGTGTGAATTAAATCGAGTCAGCACACACCGAATGTTGGTGGCGTTTTGGAAGTCGGAATAAAATGGGTGAGGTGGAGTTGCACGCCAGTCAGTACAAGAAGTTAATATATTTTAGCTAAATGAACTACAGCTACCTACTACTCTATTTGTGTATCTGTAACTCGAAAATGCTTCAAATCCACTTTCAAATCACCTGGAAATACCTAACCGAAGTAGACTTGTAAGCTTTATGGCTTCAAGGCGCCTTGAAGATTTCCAAATGCATATTTGAAAATTCATTCGCGATTAGGAGATACTGGCGGATCAACCACAACAGACACAACGGTGGTCTGTCAACTGGTAGACTCCTTTGTCCAGCCGATGTGGCCTACAGGAATAAAGTGAGAAGAGGATTTATGGGAAACCACATGACCACTTATAACCAACATTTCTACTACGAAGCAATTGTTGATGAAAGGGAAGAAGTTTGAGGGAATCCCTATTCGAAACATCAAATGTCCTGATAATTCAATTGCTCATCTGAAGTTGGCTTATCCAATGCGCCTTTATAAATTAACCTGGTCAACCTGAAATGTCATCAACATCCTTCTCAACCAATTTCGCCCAGTACTTCTTTAGTCGGGACGCTTTTTAAAGGATGATACGTTCCTTGCTATTTATTAATTACTAGTCTTATTTTACTTCTCATATACTTATGATTGATATAAAGAGAGATTTAAATTATGAATGCAATAAATTTATCTTTTATATTTCATCTTATTTTTGAATTAAATCCAATTTATTATTTGTCTTTGTTTCTTGATGGTATCTTGTATTATGTTGGACTTAAACGTTGATTAGCTTTCCTAAGTTTAGCACATATCGCACTACCATTTATTGTTTTTTATCAGTGATTTACGGGTTATTAATAATTGATTTCTTTATTGGTTGGGACATGGGTTAAGAGATGGTATTATTTTTTATCTATTTTGATATTTTTATATGGATTAAGGTCATCCATAAAATCTAGGGATTTTTCTCATTTTTTGGCCTTAATTTAATGTGGTCATTTATCAATACGAAAAGGGTGAACAGAGATGTTTACTTCCGATATTTAGTTCCATTTTAATATTGTGCAAATGATGTCTTGCTGGTTTAATATATTTTGATTGCAGAGGTGACTAGTAATCCATTATTTTCATTAATTCTTTTATTTTTATGAGGGTTTTGTTGCCGTTGTATGTTACCATTTCTATCGACCATTAGTTAGGCATGGATTTGAATTTCTTTCATTTTTTCTATACTATTCTGTAGTATAGAATAGTATAGCATAGTATACTATTTTGTAGTCTCGTTGATAAATTAATTACATATTGAGTATTATTAGTACTTTTTGGACTATCCATACTTATCAGAATTTTTATGTATACAATTTCATTTCCTTTTTATTTCCTTTTATTTTATGAGTGCATCATGAATTTGTAAATGGTTCTTTATTTTTCAAGAGTTTTATTAAAACTTTCTTTTTTCATTTCAAAATTTTAGGTAATATTTTATTTAATCTCATTTTTCTTTAAGTTTGACATTCTTTTCTTTTTTATATTTTTAGGTGGGGTGTGCGATAACTTACCTCCACTTGGTGCACCCTGGGCAACGTATACTTATACGGCAAAAAGTCGACTTCTGACTTCAAACTACCATGGCCCCACTGTATGTCATATTCGACCCCTTCCACAGTACTTATCCTAGCTATTCTCTGCCTTTCTATCTGTTTGCCTCCCCCTCTCTTCTTTTTGTCACTTTGATGTTTCCTCCTCTCTCAAAACGCCTACCATTTGAAAGTTTCTATTTCTTTATTTTTTCATATAATTAATTCTTTATCTGTTATTTATTTTTACTTTAAGTTGTTTTATACATAAACTGAAAAGTTAGCTTTTCTGATATAAATAGGTTAAGTTTTGAGGGCGAGTATTTTAGTTTCCAAAGGCGTAATCTTATAGCCTTATTAGGAGTATTTTTATTAATTTTATGTATTCAGTTCAGTTAAATTTAGTAATAAATTTATCCAACGATTTATGTCACACGCTATTTGAGGAGTTAGAATTTTATTTTTTAATTCTCGCTACTCTAAGAAGAGTGACTGAAATTGGGCGGTTTATTAGTTCTTAATTTACCCTAATTAGAATGTGGTTTTATCCTCTTCTATCCTCTTCTTTAGGGAGTTAATTTTCTTAGTTATCTAGAATTTTTAGTTCAATAAAATTTAATTTTGCTTAGCATCCTATTTCTTTTATTATTTATGTAGAAGACTGATGAGTTTGGTCTTAAAATGACGAGGAGGGAATGGAGAATTCGGTGAAGTGGAGGTGAAATTGGAGTTGAAATGGGCATGTTTGGATTTGTGGGAAGTGTTGTAATACATGCTATGAGTAGTGCTCACTTGCGGTAAGTGAGGATGATTGAATTAGGGTTGGCAAATATTTGGTCCATCTTTTGCTGGTTAAGCACTTTTTTAATTTATGTGAAATATAAGATAATTTCTATTGGTATGTATTTTAGCAACTATATTATTTTATACAGGGGAGATGAGTATTTTACGATTCAGTCATGTTTCTGGGTTTTGACAATTTCGGCTTAGAGAAGTTGCCATATTTGGTAGATTAATATTTTCTTTTTTCTTTTCTTTTTCTTTCTTTTTTTAGAGACAAGTTTAGTTTCAACTTCATATCATCATTTCACATGGTGGATTTAATTTTGACTATGAAACTAGGTTCTTCATTCGTTCTCTTCCTATTTTTAGCTTGAAGAAGTAATGAATAGAAGTTATGATCCCACCTTTCATACTAGTGTTTGCGCTTTTGTTTGTCTACATTGTGGACATGTGTAATTAGAGATTTAATTTGCGCATTAATTGTTGGTTCGATATTATTTTTTTATTATCAAAGTTCAAGAACTGTTTGATATAGACTCTTTCTCTATTATGTGTGATTATTTGCATAATTTTCGTATATTTTCGCTTTTTACTAATAGGTTATTTAAGCTAACGAATTGTAATTTTATCGATTGCTACCGGTTTTCGTCTCCTGTAAATTAATCTTTAAATTATTATTGATTTAGATGTTTCATGATTTCTCTATTTATGGTTATAAAAATTTTAACTGGTGTGATATTATTGACTTTGGTAATGAATTTATCCAAAGATTTATTTCACACTTGGTGTTTACGCTATTGGCATATTTGAGGTGCAAAAATCTATTTTAATTTTTTTCTGCTAACTCTAAGGAGTTTGTCTGAAAAGTAGGCTTTATTTTGAGCTTACTTTTAATGGATGAAGCCTTTATGGGTTATATTCTACAACGACATCAACTGTCATATTGATCGGCAAATATGCAAAAGCTTAACCATTTTTGGTATACTGTTTGTCGGCTTTCTAATAGAGGTACTACTTTGATTCGTATATTATCCGCTGATATCTGATTGAGATTTTTTGAATTAGGCTTCACAATTTTACTCCTAAGAGTGGTGGCAATAAACCTCTCTTTTCTAATTCTTCTTTCTCTGATTTCTTTCGTATTTTAGAATAAAGGATTTTAAAAGCTTCACATTTTTATTTCTAGTATTTCTGATATCATTTAGTAGTCCGGATTCATTATTTGATATTGAAGCATTGCCTATAAAGCTTGAGTGATACGTTTCAACGACCTATGCTATTTTATGTGGAATTAACTCTTAGATGGGTGGATTAGCCTTAAGAGCATCTTTTTTTATTTTTACGAGTACCAAATTTTAACAATTCCAATAGTTACATTGTAATTCGTCAATTAGTATTTTATTAATAGGGGCAGTATATAATGTTCTTTGGCTTGTTCGGTTGAAATCATGAATATTTATATTTATTTTTATGTCAGGTTTTGGGCAATAAATGGAACTTTTAATGTTTTTATTGAAGTCATTTTGATTACTTTTCCATCCATAAGTCGGTTTTTAAATTGTACTTTCTGTGTGTTACTATTGCCATTGTGTTTATTATGTGGGCTGCATTATAGACATGGTTTTTATTGTACTAATTATTCTTTCAACTGCCGGAATAAATGCTGAATTAGTTACATAAACTCGAGTTGGAAGATGTCCAAGTTCTATATTATTAATTTCTACTTAAGTTTATTAGTAACATTATTAGGTTTGTGGGGACGTCATCGATTAACGCGACTTCTCATGCATGCACGCCAGGATCGGGAGGTGCGGCCGTATAACTCTCTGTGCAGCAACCGCCCAACAAGTGGCCAACCAGAAGCCTCTGTTTGTTTAACCTAATCCGCCGTGCTGATTATGATTAACCTCCCTGTGTACGCTATACTCACGTTATACTTACAGGATAAACCTGTTCCGCGCTATACGCCTGTCTCCTCTATAGCTTGGCTATAGCTTATCTAGTTCTGGGAGTCTAGGTATAGATGTAGGAGACTCTGCCAAAGAGATTTCTGAGTGAGTCAAGCTTTACTAGTGTAGCAGTCCTCTACAGGTTTCTGTACAAATTGTTCTTTTAATATATTGACCTATAATTCTCGCGTGTTTTTATTTTTAATTTTTGTTTTGTACATATATTGCAATTTTAGCTTAAATAGAATCATAGATTGTCTTTTTCTGGTTGTTGGTTTATTATTTTTTATCGAGCTTTTTTTATTTTAACTTTTTGAAGGTAAAATTCAATAAGGAGTATAATGGAATTTTGGTTGTTTACGCTTTTAATGTGAGCTCGGACAACTTTACTTTATGATTATTTTTATCCATAACTAATATATGGATTATATTATAAATCATGGTGTTGTTAATTGCAAAAGAATTATGACTTCGGCAGTCATTGGTCTCTGTAAAATGAGAATTTTGGCCAATAGGACTGCTTTAGCAGGTTTGTGGGACACGTTATCACTTTGTGTGTCATCGCATGTCAGGATTGGGAGGTGCGGCCTACAACTCTTTCTATAGCGACCGTACAAACAGTGACTAATCATTAACCTCTGTTTAAACCTAATTCTCCGTGTTTATAAAGACAAAGCTTCCGTCCTAAGCTCATAACCGGCGTGTCACATCCCGAATAAACGTATTGCTCATCATCCGCCTCTTCCCTCTATAGCTTGGTGATAGCCTAGCTAGTATGGGAAGCCTAATCTGTCATAGAGATTACTTAGCTTATTGGTGTAGCAATCCGCTACAGGTTACTTTGATTTAGTAAGTAGTAATATCTAAATTTAAGAGTTGGGTTCTTACGATTTTTGATTGTAATTTAACATAGATTATTATTTTTGCGTGTTTATTTACAGTAATTTATTTTTACTAGAAGTTTATTTAAATGGAGAAGTGCATAAAGATTATCATGATCTGGGTCATATAAGTGTGGGTTTTGACCTAGTTCCTTAAGATTTGAATGCTCAAGATTTACTTATTTTTCTGTACTGGTTTTTTGTTTTATAATTTTAAATATGCCTGAGCAAGGGTTGTTAAATATGAACTCCTTTCTTAGTTGTAAGATTTCTATTAGAGTTTTTAATGGGCTGTGTTCGTTGAGCTTATAAAGTTGAAAAAATTTATAACACTAATGCCGATACTGGAATTTTTCGAAAGTTCGCTAATCTGAAAAAGCTTCTGTGGTCATTTGGTTCCAAAATAGTTTAACGATATGGAATTATCCCTTTAAACCGGAACGTTCATTAAATTTTGTTAGTTTGTAGCTAACTTTCTTAAAAATAAATAAGAATAAATTTATTTAGACTGAATATTTTCAGAGCATTTAGAGATGTTAGATCATCTCATGATAATAAACACTTCTGGCATATATTCTTGAATTTTAACATTAGATCATGACTGTGTAGGCATTGTTGATACATCATTAGGTAAATGAGCTGGTTTTAAATTCTTAAGATCTAGTTTAATGACTCTAGTAGATTGTCATTATTTTTTAGTTACTAATCATGATGTAATGATCATTTTCTTCTTTCTGTTGCCTTTTAACAGGTGGCTAGTTAATTATTTTTTACTTCTATTGGGTAGTATATCCGATCTTGATTTACCGCCTGATTATTGATTCCTTTTATAGTATTTTCGATTATTATACCATATACCCATGCTATAATTGTCATTCATTCATCTTCAGTTTTATTAAGCAACAGAAGAAGAACAAGAATTTGCAACGTGGAAGAGCATTCAAAAACAAAGAAAATTGAGACAGTATGGTATGGGTCAGGAAAAGTGAAGAGATGGAGAGGAGAAAGCGTCCCATCGAATGTTGTCATTGGATCAAGGTGCAGTCAAAGGACTCCTGCTCTAGAGCTCTCAATCACCAGATTGGAGGATTTGCCACCAATCGTAGTGGCGTTCTTAGACTGAGCTGCACTGCCTGCACATAGGAAATTGGTGGATGGTCAATCAGTCAAGGTACTTTTCGACAAGTGAGAAAATTCCACCAGGCGGCACCCGCTTTCCCAATGGCAGCCAACGATGGTTAAAACATCACGCATCTGAATGCCATCTTCAATGTTGATGTGGAGGCGTTCCGCGCCAATCTCCTTCCAAAAGATCAATCAGATATGCACTAGCACATGCATCCACTCCTCAGAGTAGTCATCATTTCAGCCACTCCTCTGTAATGCAAGACATTCATCAGACCTTTCCAAAATCCTCAATCACTTCTATTTTCTAACTAACATATATATCCATGCAGTACATTCTACCTATGAATGAGATAGTCAGAAAGAGGAGTCATTATTCAAAGAATAACCATAATAACGTAATAGTAATAATAAGAAGAAGACGACGACGACGAAGAAGAATAATAAAAGGAATATGATAACACATTTGGCTATTTCAATTATTGGCAGCGATATGCTATTAGTACAGATTAATAAACTTGCGCACGTTCTCTGCAGTGCACATTAATCAAAATTTACCTATTCAATTTCCGCATTGTAAATGACCTTAGGATTAAGACTACCACTTATCCAATTCTGCAAATAATGAGCGGCGAATTAAAGTTGACACAAATATAACACATACTCATACATTTAAAAGTCGTGTAGCCTAATGTAGATATAAAAATTACTATTTGGCCTATGTACCGAAACAAAAAAACCATTAATATATACAAAACTCCCATATAAAAGAAACAAAATATTACAACTAATTAAAGATTTAATTACTAAAAAATCACAGAAATAAAAAGGATGTCTAATAAGAGAAAATAATATTAGCATGAATAGTATATACCTAATAAAACACAATATATAAAATAGCGTAAATAATTTCATTTGAATTGCAGAAATAGAGTGAAATAACTTAATAATAAGGCCCCACAAATTTCATTCCAATCATTTCACCAAACCAAAAGCCTATAAAACTAGCTCATATACATAATAGAGTATAAATTATACCTATATGCCTATGGTCATATGTAAAACTTCAACAATTTATGTTAGAAACGTAAGACGATCTAACAACAATCTCTACATAGTGGGAAAACATTCAGTCTAAAATAACTGAATCTTGCTTATTCTTAGGAAGAAAGTTGGCTTTCAATTGGCAAAAAATTAATTAGCAGTAATGGCATCAATTTCTTCAACTTTATAACTTCAACGAATGACTAAGAAAAAATTCATATATAACAATCCTTGCTCACCCCTAGTTAGACTTATAACACACACAAAAAACTAGTAAAGAAAAATAAGTAAACCTAGATCATTCAAACCTTAAAGAACTAGGCCAAAACCCACACTTATTTAGCCTCCATCATGATATTCTTAATCTACATCTTCATTTAAATTAACTTCTAGCAAAGAATAAATTGATATAAATACACACAAGAATAAAAGACCATGTAAAAGCACAACCACAAATCTGTAGCGCATAAGNTCATTTAAATAAACTTCTAGCAAAAAATTAATTGATATAAATACACACAAGAGTAATAGACCATGTAAAAACACAACCACAAATCTGTAGCGCATAAGACACGAATAGGGTAAGAACCCATCTCTTATACTTAGATGTAGAGATAGTGAGGAAATAAACTACTTGCTACTTGCTATTTACTACTTACTATATCAAAGAAACAAGCTAAAGCAGGAGACTGACGGCGAATGAGAGCTCTGGGCAGAATTAGCTAGTTAACCAACCAACCAACTA